GGCTCTAAGCAACAGCGTCGCTGGTTCGATTTCCATATGGGCCAGTGAGCTGCACCTGAGCTGAGCTGCCGCTGAGCTGCAAACAGGTGGCAGGCTGGCTCAGCTGGTGAGAGTACGTGCCCCTGACAAGGTTGATTGTTCGAGATGGTGGGCTACACCTGCCCGCAACTAAGACTGAACTCGGCACCTTGAGCTGAGCTGCCACCCGGATGGCTCAGGGGATAGAGAGAGCCCTCTTAACAAGGCTGCCGGTTCGACTCCCGCATGGGATGGTGGCTACACCCACCTGCAACTAATTGAACACAGCACCCTAAGCTGAGTGGCGCGACTGGACTTGGAGCTGAGCTAGCTGCGCCCTCCACAACTAAGATTAAAGGACAGCAGCTTGGCTGTTCCCCTCCCCCAATTCCCCAACCAAAAAAAAAGATGAACAGTGAACAGCAAGGGGACACTCCCTTTCTTTGATATCTGAAAACAAATGCTAAGGCGTGTCTTTTAGAACACAAAAGCAAAATCCAAAGAAAGCTTACTAATAAGGTATTTTAAAATCTTTTAAGGTCTAAGTCTTTGATCAGAACAAGAGGGATGTATTTAAAATCTATCCTAACTTTTGATTGAATAAATATTCCAAATAGAAATGTCAGAGAAATGCCCAAAAAATCAGCTGCTGTCACGTTAGCTACCCCATTCATCAGAAAAATAATCTCATGTTGAGATGTACCACTTGGAAGGACCTCAGCCCAAATACCACAAAATAGTACCATCTTATAACTCAGATAAATATAATTTTTTAATAAAGCAAATTATTAAATTAACTCACTTAAAAGTAAATAAGAATTGAATGGTTTATCAGAAGCAAGCACTTAAACGATAGTTGTTTTTTTCAAACTTACTTTTCTTTCTCTGTTAATAGGGGGAGATTTTCACTGACCAATCCATAACTGAGCAACAGAATGGATTCTGCTGTCATTTCCTGATTGACAATTAATCCTGCAATGATTCGGCGTAAGGTTTCATGAACTTTCCGGGCCAATTTTAAACTCGTGGTATTTTGCAAGATCTGTAGGCAAACACAAATGTCATGCTGAGGTAACACTGAATTTTGATTTGCTGTAATGTGGCTTTTGTGTGTGTGTGTGTGTGTGTGTGTGTGTGTGTGTGTGTGTGTGTGTTTGCTTTTTAATATTTTTTTTCTAATAAAAAACTCCCACAATCTTAGTAATATTTTAAAGAGACAGGCTATATAGTCAAATTTACTCATAACCTCAACACCAGAGATAACCACTGTCAGCAGTGCGTATGCCTGTGAATTTCTTGCAGTCCCTGTGTGCTCTTTGTTGGTGAGGACTGAGGGCACACAGCTGGAGATATGTGACACTTGTAAGATGTCAACCCTCCAAGTGCATTCAAAACTACTTTGCAAAGGTGGAGGGATTTGACAATATACGTGGAAAATACATGAGCTCTGTTGACTCTTTTCATCCTCGAAATATCTAACATTCTTAGATCAGACTAAATGCATTTCTAGGGACAATTATGGGGTTAATCTAGCACCAAAACATTGGGAATTATAGTCAATTCATGACACTAGATAGTGCTTTTTCCTCTAGTTTTAGTACATAAAACTAATAAAGTGAATTAATAACATTTATCAAATGTTCACCCCTGTAACAGGCACAGAGAACACTATCCCTGCCCTATAGGAAGCAGAAAGAAACAGCAGGAAAATGTGAGCTTTGGATCAGAAAGATCTGGAACTAAGTCTTGACTTTTCTCCTTACCCATGATCCTTGCTACCTTCCCAAGGCTGAATTTTCCTATCTCTAAGATAGAAGCACCATCGATCTCACAGGGTGGTTGTACAGGTTAGAAGAGATAATGAAGCACAATGTTTAGAACATAATATGTTCAACAAATGCCAATTTTCTTCCTCTTGGCAATCTGAGAGTAGCAGTGTGACCCCAAAGGCCTATATTCTTAGCTGCTGACTGTACAATTCCCCTTCACTTCTATTCTTATTGCTTTTCCTTCTGCATTTCATGGCTGACACCAGGGACTCTGATTCTTGGATTAGACTATTCAACTCAGGGCTGCCAGCTAGTGACCATATGGTAATGATGTCCTTTGCACCAAAGCACATGGTGATCAGGTGCAGTGTGAAGGTTTGCACTGCCAGGCTCTTTTCAAGATCTGTTGTACTACATTCAATTCCTTACCTCTTTCAGTGGAAGGATAAGTTTTGTAACCTGATCTTTTCCTACAAATTTGCCCAGGATTTCATAAGAATCGTAACTCTTGCTTCTTCGTGCCTCCATGACTTTGGAGAGGATCTGCTTTACTTCTTTCTCTTCAGCAATGGCACCAAACAACTCGTGGTTAAAAATCTTTAGAAGAAAAAGGCCAAATGGCAATTATGTACACTCAGCAAGATGTGCCAACGTAAGGTCTTTGGAAAGAGTATTGGTATGTCCAAACCAAGGAAAACCAGTTGGACTGGACTGAAATTAGTCAGTAGGAATTTCTATTAGATTTCACTTTTTTCAATATAGTTTGGGGACCAATGACTAAAACAACAAACAAATACAGAAACACCTGAAGGTTTACACTAATGAGAAATAAAAGAAGAATACAGTAAGTCCTCAATGTCATCGATAGGTTCTGCGACCTAAAGTAAAATGACATACGAACCAGTTCTGACATAAGAATGACAAACAAAACCAGTTTTACCATCGGCTGACCAATACAAACAAGAATTAAGTTCCTATGGCATCTCATCAATATTATGATGATATGATGCTATTTAAACACCTGCTGTACTCCACAGATTTACCATATAACTATGTAATATACAGACAGGTACTTCTCTGATACTACCAAAGAGTAACTTAGTCTCTCTTTAAGAAATTCTCATGATATTTGCAACTTAGATGTTATTGAAATTAATGCATTTAATTCAAGGTTAGAGTCTACATTTTTGAATAAATGAATTAAAGGTTGTGTGACAAATTTAGTTGTCTTCCTAATCCTGACCCCCAAATTATCAAATTATCCAATTTTAAAAGCTGATTGTAAAGTGAAGGGATTAAGAAATACAAATTGGTAGTTACAAAATAGTCACGGGGATGTAAAGTACAGCATAGAGAATATAGTCAATAATGTTGCAACAACTATGTATAGTGCCAGGTGGATATTAGGCCAACAGGGGGCAGGAATCACTGCATAAATTATATAAATGTCTAACTACTATGTGTACACCTGAAACTAATATAAAATAATATTGACTGTCAACTGTAACAACAAAAAAAATATAATAAAAGTTATATTTAAAAAAAAAAAGATTATGACCAGCTTTATTACAGTGGTCTGGAAGAAAACCACAGTATCTCTGAGGTATGCCTGTATGTACAAATTATTAAGGTAGTTGAGCAATTCTCAAACTAGGCTATGAGTTTACAACATTTTTATGAATAAATTTCAAAATGCTTCTGAAGTTCATATGCATACCTCATTTGAAAAGGATAGGAAAAATCGATTGTTACTAATTTTTCACTGTTATAAATAAACCTCTGGTAAACATACTTTTATATAAACCCCAGACTACATCTCTGATTATTCTTTTAAAACAGATTCTTGAAAGTGGTTGAAATTTCTGCTCATTTCCAAAGCTCTTGATATACAATGTCAATTTCCTTTCCAGGAAGGCTGTACCAACCCATGACCTAGTAGCAATGGCCGAGTGCCTATCTCACTTCACTTGAGACTTAGCTTTTTAAACCCCACTAATCTAGATGAGATAGTACGTTATTTTCATTTTTATAGGCTATTATTATCTCTTACTTTGTGAACTTTTTTGTGTCCTTTGCCCACTTAAAAAAAAATTTTAGAATTCCTTTCTCTAAATCTTACCTCAATCATTATATCTAAACAAGAGTCCAAATCCCCGACGTGTAGCTTGTTGGTGAGGCCATGCAGCAACATGTAAACAGTGAAAGTCAGCACGTGGACCTAAAATGAAATGCAGAATAGGAGTATGAATGGTTAGAAAACCACACTAGGAAAGACGAGATCTGAGAAGCACTGCAAAGAGAGCCCTCCGAGTACATAATCTGTCATTACTGCGAGAAGCTTTGAGAAATGACACATACTTATGCCACCATCTAAAATCCTGTAACCAAATGGTCACTTTGTACAAAAGATGCTCAGAAACATATTGCCATGCGTAGGATTATTGTGACTAAGGCAGGCCAGTGGTTTATAAAGAAGGGCATGAGGGTCGAACTTTAAAAACCAACCTGTGAATTAAGGAGCTTTCCGATACTGAATACAATCGAAGCAGGTACATCAAGTGTTATGAAGAAAACAAATAAGTTTTTGCCTCAAGGGTAACTAAGCATAGCTAACATTCCTAAGAGCTTACCATGGCAAGGCACATATCAATACCTCACATGTATTAAGTCACTTAATTCTCACCCACTCTATCTATGATGCAGGTGCCATGTTATTGGCATTTTTCAGAAGAGGAAGCTGAGGCACAGAGAAGTCAAGTAATTTGTCAAACAGTTACCCAAAGAAATCCACACTCAGACACATCATAATCAAACTGCTGAAAAATAAAGACAAAGTCTTTAAAGCAGCCAGGGCAAAACATTACTTGGAGGGAAACAATGATTGGAATAACCGGATTATTCATCGGGAATGCCAGAAGGAAGTGGCACAACATTTTTAAAGTGTGAAAGAAAGAATGTCAATGCAGAATTACACTGGATCAAGTGACAATATCCTTCAGAAATGAAGGTGAAATGAGGACATTCACAGATGAAGGAAAATGAGTAGAATCTGCTGCCACCACACTCGCTCTACAAGATGGCTGAAGGAAGTTCTTCAGACCGAAGAGAAATGATGCCACTAAGAAACTCAGACATTCAGAAATGGGGGAGGAGCAATAGAAATGATAAATATCTGGGCAAAATAATAGAACGCCCTTCTCAAATTCTTTAACATGTGTTTGACAATTAAAAGCAAAAACTCTAGTTTTCAATATGTGGCAATGTAATACATAAACAAATATAAAACCAAAGGAGACGGGTGAAGGAGACCTGTATGGTGGTAAGGTTTCTATGTTCCACTTGAACTAGTAAAATACTGAATCTCAGTAGATTATTAAAAGTGAGTGTGTAGGGACGGCCGAGTGGCTCAGTTGGTTAAGAGCGTGAGCTCAGAGCAACAGTCGCCGGTTCAAGTCCCACATGGGCCAGGGAGCTGCGCCCGAGCTGAGCTGCCCTGAGCTGCCAACAGGTGACAGGATGGCTCAGCTGGTGAGAGCACATGCTCCTAACAACAAGGTTGCCGGTTAAACTCCCGCATGGGATAGTGGGCTATGCCCACCCGCAACTAAGATTGAACATGGCACCTTGAGCTGAGCTGCCCTGAGCTGCCTATGGGCAGCCGGCTGGCTCAGTGGTTAAGAGTGTGTGCTCTTAGCAACAAAGTTTCCGGTTCCACTCTGCAAGGGATGGTGGGCTACACCCTCCTGCAACTAAGATTGAACACGGCACCTTGAGCTGAGCGGCCATGAGCTGATGACTGGCGGCCAGATGGCGACAGACTTGGAGCTGAGCTGGTTGCGCCCTCCACAACTAAGACTGAAGGACAACAACTCAGCTGTTCCCCTTCCCTGATTCCCCAGTTAAAAAAAAAAAAAAAAAGTGAGTATGTAAATGGTAATCCCTAGGGCATCCACTAAAAAACTGTACAAAGAGAGATGGTCAAGATGAATAGTGATATTTTTTGTGTGTCAGACTTATGTGGCAAGTAGGAACCTTACCTATGAACAAAGTAAGACACAGAAGGTGAAGCTAACTACCAGGAGTCTTGGCTGGACTTGAACAAGCTAGTGTCCCTCTACCTTGAGATCACCTGGGGAGCTTATTAAAATGCAGCTTTTGTAGGTCAGGCACAGGGCCCTGAACTCTGCATTTCTAACAAGCCCCCAGGTGCTGCTGGTGGACCTGTCCAGGGCCCACACTGGGAATAGTGAGGCACTGGCCAGCCACGTGACTCAAGGAGCTTTGTGTTCCTCCTGGAGAGCTGATTATTTTTGTGACTTAAGTCACCTGCTTCAACTCTCAAACAAGTGTGTGTGCTCTTTATTGTTCACATTTGTGGCAATACATTCAACAAGAGGTTTTTTAAGAACTCAGAGGATGCAGAATTGGTATCGAGTGATTGGAGGTAATGTAACCTAGGCCTATACAGATTTTTACAAAAATCAAATCTAGGAGCTTTTAAAAATACTGATTAGAAGCTTTTGAATATTATTGCTTGCTATCTCAGTGGATCAACTTTACTGAAGATAGACCCAAAGCACCGTGACTGATAGTATTCAAATTGCAAACATTTGAACTCCAACCCAACTTGAATATTAAGCACATGGTGCAACTTACCTGATATCCACGGACAAGGGTAGTCTGTAATTCTTTTAAAATATATTGTAGGTAGTGCACACCCAGATCTTCTATTATTTTTGCAAGAGTGCTGCGTGCAATGTCTCTGATTTCTTGTGCTCTGTTCTTGAGGAGGGCACACACTTTCAGCAAAATACTAGAAAATGAGAAATGGAAAAACGACTAATCATAAAAACAGAAGCAAATAAAAATCTAAACATCCTTTTCTCTCTTAATGGCTCCTAACACAATTTCCCAACTGGGATTCTAAACCACAACACATGGTAACAGTGCTTTTCTTCCTGACAAAAGAGATTCAAAAGTCAGGAAGAAAGAACCAATTTTGAGTTTCACGGAACTTTTCCAATTTGTCACACAACCTACCTTGGCAGATTAGTTTCCATAACTTCGTGTGGGAGGGACTGCATTAGCTTAACCATGGCAAAAGCTAAAGGAACTCGAACTACTTCCTCGTCATTCACAACCTTGGATTTTATGAGCTTGTGTTCTTCTTCCCTTTTTGACTGTAAGAAAAGTTCAGGTTAAACTAAAACAAAAATACACAGATCAGAGACCTACTAACACTGCAACCTTTCATTTGAAAGAGAAACTCTTTTGATATATATCTTATGTGCACTTCTTTTTTTTTTTTTTTTTTTTTTTTTTTTTT